GCTGTTGAGTACAATTCATTGCCTACTCTCCTTTGGGTTTCTGAGACTATAAATCTCATGGGAGGATATTGCCCAGCTTGGCAAGAAACTACTGGTGGATTTGAACTGCCAGCAAATGCAGCCATTGTTGTAGCTATCTAACCTCTATGGACTACACCACTACTGCTCCCTATTTATCTAAAAGTCCACCGTAAAATATATAAGGTGGAAACTACCTGGTGAAATAAAGGACCTTAGTCCTTAGTAATCTATCAAACCTCACTGATCAATCACTTAAAAATATCAGTAAGAATATAAAAGATGTGAATGATACTGTTAACAAGCTTGTCTAATGGGCATATATAGAACACTGTCCCTAGTCTACGACTCGACGGCACTTAACGACAACAACGAGAGATCTCTGTGGGCCCAGTGGATAGAAAGTGATGCTACCAGGCCAAAGGTGGGTGATTTTAATCTGTGGCCCTCAGGCCTGGTTTTAATTATTTTTGGTCAGTCATTCTTCTAAGTGGTGTAGCACTGGTCCATTTGCTGTACAGAGGTAATCTCATGATTACTGTGATGCCAAACACTGTTGACACAACATGTGCCAAATGCGATAATAGTTACCCTTGGTGGACAGTGTTTGGTGAAGCTGCCCAATTTAAACAAGCTTGAAATCAGGAGTGGCATCCACTTGCCTCCGGAAACTCTATTATGAACTTGGAGAAATGATAAAAATTATGCAAGTGTTCAGGTATTTTGCTCATAGGGTCACTATGAGTTGTTTACGACTCGATGGCACTTTAACAACAATATCCCTAATCTAGTGACCTGGTGGTAAAGATTTACATTGTCAACCCAAAGGCATATGGTCGGCTCCACAAGAGAAAGAGGAACAGTCTCTTCCTGTGCAATAAACTGCTCCTGAAAAGCTGCTGGAGGATGAACTATGAATCATTTTGACACATAGTACCTAACAACCTAATCCCCAAAGGCAGGTGGTTTGAATCCACCAGCTGCTCCGCAGGAGAAAGATTTAGACAGTCTCCTCTCATGAGATTTATAGCCTCTGAAAACCCACTCTGAGTCAGTTCTGACTTAATGGCACATGACAGTATAACAACATCCCAGGTAACATCAAGATAGACATTCTGAGTATGTTGAGTAGTGTAAAACAAGACAGTACATTTTCAAGGACGTAAAGCTATGATCTCTAGCCACATATTAAAGTCGGTAAAAAATATTGAGAAAAAAAGAATAACATATTTCACATATGAAAACTGGGCTGCAGCAATATTTAGAAGGCAGTTCGTGCTCTTAAATATTTACACTACAAAGAATTTAATATTGAGGGAAAAAAGTGGGAGGATGGAAATAAAATAGAAACAAAGTATTGAAATAGAAAATTTCCAATAGAGGAGAACCATACTGATTTTTGCAAAGACATTTTGATCAAAGAAAAAATGGTGTCACAGATAAACATTAGAAATGAAAATGTAAGTAGAATCACAGATGTTACAGAAATTAAAATAGTGACTGTATATATACAAATAGATAAATTAATGAAAAATGTTAATTTGTCAAAATTGACTCAAGAAATAGCAAACTTGAGTAATAACTGTAATAGTTAAAGAAATTTGTGCACAGAGAAGAGAGGCCGGTCTTACTCATAAATTTTCCCTTTACGTGAAAAAGACAATAATACCAGTAGTGCTGGATAAGTCTTGAACGTACCATGGACCACCAAGAAAACAAATATATCTGTCTTGGAGAGGGTAAAACCAAGTCTCTCCTTGGAGGCTAGAATTTTGAAGCTCTGCCTCACTTACTTTGGGTACATGGCCAGGAGAGACCGGTCCTTGGAGGACTTCATGCTCGGAAAGGTGGAGGGACAGTGCAGGAGAGGGAGACCCCAGATGAGATGGATTGATACAGTAACTGGGGCAGTAGGGGTTGGTGTGTTGGAATTAGTTAGACTGGCTCAGGACAGGGAAGGGTTCAGAGCTGCTGTATGTAGAGTCGCTATGCATCGCAGGTGACTCAGTGGCACATAACAACATACTAGGACAGATTTGGAAGCAGGAGTGGCATCCACTTCCTAAATAGCATGCCTCTGGAAACTCTATGAACTTTGATAAATGTTGATAATTGTAGATGGGGCTTCAGACCTTTTGTTCATTGGGTTTCTATGAGTCGTGCTTGACTCGAAGGCAATCAACACCACTACCAGCTATCAGCTTTTCTAGTTAACATTGTTCTGGATGTTACAGCCACAGTAGAAACCAAGGGAATAGACGTGAAATGAAGGGTAAACTGATTATTTATGGATGATATAGTTGGTTATATAGAATTATTTTTGCTTCCTGAACATAGATTCATCATTAGCATTACTATAATTTTAGTTAAAAATCAACTATAGGACCTCTCCAAAGTACTGAAGAGCAGTGGTGTCATTCTGGAGACTAAAGTGCACCTGACACAGGCCATGATCTTTGTAATAACACTTGCTATGCATCAGAGAGCTGGACAATGACTAGGGAGGCTAGGAGAATTGATGCCTTTGAGCAGTGGTGCTGGAAAAGAGTATTGAATATACCATGGATTGCTAAGAAAATGAACAGGTTCATCCTGGAGAGGGTTAAACCAGGCTGCTCTTTGGAGACAAGGATTCTGAAGCTTCGTCTGACATAACTTTGGACATGTTGCAGGAGGGGCCAGTCCTTGGAGAGGGACATCATGCTTGGGAGGGTGGAGGGACAGCGCAGGAGAGGAGGATCCTCTGTGATGTGGACTGATTCAGAGACTGGGGTTAGTGGGAGTAGGTGTGTCGGAGGCAGTGAGGTTGGCACTGGACAGAACAGGGTTTGGGGTTGTTGTATACAGGGTCGCTATGAGTCGCAGGTGATTTGGTGACACATAACAACAACAACAACAACAATAGTTATGTATGCCAGTAAGAAAAAAAATATAGTTCTTTAAAAGATTACAAAAAATATTCTTAAAGAAATATAGCAAAAATCAGGTAAGACCTTATATAAAGAAATTTATCAAACTGTTGAAAAGCATCAAAAAAGACCTGAGTACATATTTCATGTTCATGGACCAATACAATATTATAAATACAAAGATGTCTTTTCTCCCCACATATCTGTGCAGTTGATATAGTTATTATAATCCAATTAATGCATAGATTCTATATGTTTGCATATATATTTAAATTTTTGTAATATTCTCAAGTTAATATGCCATAGCAAAGGGCCAGGAATAATGCCCTGAAAGAAGAACAACTAAGTGGGAGTCCTTGACTTACCATACATCAAGTTTTATTAAGTAGCCGGCTTAGAGGTAGGGAATTGTGCTGCCAACCCAAAGGCATGCAGTTCAAATCCACTAGCTTCTCCTTGGGAGAAAGCTGGGCAGTCTCCTCCCATGTAATTTACTGCCTCTGAAAATCCACTGGAGGGTCAGCTCTTGAGTTGGTTCCAGCTCAGTGATACATAACAACAATAACAATGAAAACAGTGGGTTATTGGCTTATGCATAATTCATTTGATCAATGGAATAAAATAATTTCAAAGCAGATGTATACATACATGAAAATGTAATTTATAACACTATCAGCAGGAAAGACTGACTTTCATGGAAATGATGCGAGGACAATTGATTATTCATAGGGGCAAATTTTAAGTGCACCCTTATAAAAAATTAATTCCCAGTGGATTAAAGACTTAGGCCTAAAACGCAGAAATGTGAAATGTTTAAAAGAGTGCTATCAGCAACTGTTTATGAAGTTTGTGGGTCAGGAAAACGTAATATACAAAAAGTACAACCAGAAAGGAAAACATTTACAGCTTTATTATCTTGTGTGTAATCATAAAAGACAGCAGAATAAGGGAGCTCTGGTGGCCTAGTGGCAAGAAACTGCACTGCAATCCTGAAGGCACATGGTTCCAATCCACCAGATGCTGCTCTGGAGAAGGAGTGGCAGTCTTCTCCTGTGCCAGTTGGATCTGATTCAATGGTACACAACAAGAAAATTAAAAAAAAAAATTAAAAAAGCCACCACAATAACATCAGTCTGGAGACTAAGGTGCGCCTGATCCAGGTCATAATCTGTGTAATTGCTAGCTATGCATCAGAGAGCTGGATAATGACTAGGGAAAGAGAATTGAAGCCTTTGAGCTGTGGTGCTGAAGAAGAGTTTTGAGTATACCATGGACTGCCAGGAGAACAATTAGGTTTGTCCTGGAGAGGATCAAACTAGGCTACTTCTTGGAGGCAAGGATTCTGAGGCTTCATTTGACATACTTTGGGCATGTTGCAAGGAGGGACCGTCAAGTCCTTGGAGAGGGACATCATGCTTGGAAGGATGGAGGGACAGAGAAAGAGAGGAAGACCATTGAATAGATGGATTGATTCAGTGACTTGGTAATGAGGGTAGGTGTATCAGAGACAGTAAAGTTGGCACAGGATAGAGCAAGTTTCAGGGCTGTTGTACATAGGGTCTTTATGAGTCGCAAGTGACTTGACAGCACATAACAACAAACCTTTACTTGAATCACAATCTTAAAAACAAAACAAAAAAGGTTGTTACTGTTTTTGTTGTCCACAGGACTTTTTTTTAACCTTTTCTTAGTCTTTATTTTGGAAATCTGTTTGATGTAATAAATATTCTGGTCACAAGAAGGAAATGAGAAAACTCAGCCAGAATAGGGATTTATAAAAGAGAGCCATTTAGCATTGTATATTACACATTGGTATGTTAACCAAAAGATGAGTGGTTCAAACCTCCCAGCCATCCCTTAGGAGAAAGACTGTGTCCTTCTGTAAAGATTCCAACTTCGTAAAGCTGGCGGAGGGTTGCCACAGGTCAGAATGGACTCCGTGACAAGGACTTTGATTTGGTGGCGTATTTGCCCCACACTAAATAGAAACCAAATACAGGAGGCATCACAGTTATTCTTGCTGACTACTTATGTTTACTTTCCTCCCCCAGTAAGTTCCATTCAGGTTTTTGTGTTGAGTGGTGAACTGTGTGGGCTTCCTTTTACTTGGAGATCATGCAGAGAGCTACACGTCTGAAGAGGGAGCTGCATCTGTTAGCCACAGAGCCACCCCCAGGCATCACATGCTGGCAGGATAAGGACCAGTTGGATGACCTGCAAGCTCGTAAGTATCCTCACATAGTGGCTGTGATGAAGTTATGGCTCTATGAGCACATCAATTCTGTGCTGTATTTCAACATTTGCTTATTAAAGTAATGAGCAGTTGCATAAACTGTCCTACTGTACTTCTTTTATAATTTGTATTCATAAAATATTACCCAATTAAAACAAGCTTGGAAGCAGGAGTGGCATCCACGTTCCACAATAGTTTGCCTCTGGAAACCCCGTGACCCTGGAGAAAGGACGAAAGTTATACAGGTGTCCAGGACTTTCGTTCATAAGGTCACTATGAGTCGCCTACGACCCGACGACACTTAACAACAACAATAATATTTCTTGCCTCTCTGACCTTCATTAGACCTTTTGCTGACTTATAGCCGAGATGGGGGTATCCGTTCTCAAGCATTGGTTAGAGCAGAAATCACCACCTCAAATGTTTGAATCTAGGCTGTAGGTGTAGCTTCTTGGAATATTGCAGAACATATAAAAAAGATCTGCAGGTTAATTTAGTGTGTGTGACCAGCTATGTACACCTTCTGTTTTGGGGCTACAGTAGGTCAGTATGTCCTTACTATGAAATCCTGAACTTTTGAATACATCTACTTCATCACACGAGATTTGTTAGTGACCTAAGAGAGGATTACTGATGTAGTCCCAGTTTCTCCATTAGGAACAGAGACCTTTTGTAAGGTCCATATGGTGTGATGATTCTTATGAGCACTTTTAACTTTTTCTTTCTTCTGAAGAAATATTAGGTGGGGCGAACACACCTTATGCAAAGGGTGTTTTCAAGCTGGAAGTGATCATTCCTGAAAGGTTCGTGTGCATTTGATTCTTTATTGATAGAGTACATTGCAGTTACCAGAAAAGAAAGTAATGTAGTAGATTGAGTATTGAATCTAGTGATAGGAGGACATGTTTTTTAATCCTAGTTTTCTCATGACTTGAAGTGAGTCTCCTGACTGACTCAAACTTTTTGCAGTTAACTATTAAACTAAAGGTTGGCAGTTCAAATCCATCCAGCAATGCTAACAGCCAAGAAAACCCAGTGAGATCATTTCTACTCTGTAGCACCTGGGGTCACCATGAGCCAGGAATTAGCAGAATGTCACTTTGGGTAAATAATTTTTTTCTTCCTCTGAAGTCCAGTTTTTTTTCCTATGAAATAATGGGCTTGATCACATCAAAGGTTTCTTTTAAACTCAAGTCTCCTTTAAAGCTCTCATCAAGTGAGTAGTAGTTTTATGTAGAATGGGGAAAAGAGTAACCTTTGAAATAGATATTTATCTATTCACCAGGTTAGTTATAGGCCAGACTACGTAAAATGCTGAGGTTAGCTTACTCATGTGGTATTTGGGGTCTGAAAATAAATTTGCCATTTCCAAGGCTGTTTTCTTAATATAGAGACATAATTACCAAATATATAAATCTTTACTGGATCTTGATATAGGAAAAACCAGCTATACAGGATATTTTGGAGACAAATAAGGAAATGTAAATAAGAATTGAATAGATGACATTAGGGAATTATTTTAAATTGATAACTATAATAACAGTATTTAGTTATATAGTAGAATGTCCTAATTAGGAAATATTAGGTGAAGTATTTAGAGGAGTGAAATGGCTAGAATCCCTGAAATGAATATTAAGTATTAATTTTAAATTGATATATTTAATGCTATGGTTTCAACTTTGATTGTTTGAAAAATTTCATAATAAAAAAACTAGGGGGAGGGAAGGTTTGTGTCCCAAAGGTTGCCTTCCTGGTATTTCTAGAATTCTAGGTTTTTTTGGTTTGGTTTTGTTTTACTTGGGGGTGTTTTGCATATTAGTGACAAGAAAGCTGTTTGCAGTATGTTAAGAAACAATATTATAATTAAAATACATCCATTGTTCTTTTTTAAAGGTACCCATTTGAACCTCCAAAGATCCGATTTCTGACTCCAATCTATCACCCCAACATTGATTCTGCAGGAAGGATTTGCCTCGATATACTCAAACTACCACCAAAAGTGAGTGATGTCTAAAGGGATGGCTCTCCATCATTCTGTTGTTCTCATCTCTAAAACTTTAATTAAAGCATCACTTTCTTCTACAAAAATAATTCTCTGTGTGCAGGGTGCCTGGCGACCTTCCCTCAACATCGCAACTGTATTGACTTCAATTCAGCTGCTTATGTCTGAACCCAACCCTGATGACCCACTCATGGCTGACATCGTAAGCACTCCCTGTGATACATGTTCTAATTTTTCTATCTACTAGCTATCCATGTACATAGGGTTTTCAGAGGCCTGCTGTTTCAGAAGTGGATGGCCATGCCTTCTTCCTAGTCTGTCTTAATCTGAATGTTTAGGAGTATCTGACAGACAGCAATTTGTGGAGCAATGAAAGATAAATCCCTTAATGGCGAAGAGAATGAGATTGAGATTGTTCACAGCTTCAGTTTGCTCGGCTCCACAGTCAACACTCTTGGCACCAGCAGCCAGGAAATCAAAAAACGTATTGCTATGGCAAAGTCTGCTGTTAGGGACCTCTCTAAAGTACTCAAGAGCAATGGTGTCTCTCTGGAGACTAAGGTGCACCTGATACAGGCCATGGTCTTTGCAATCACTTGTTATGCATCAGAGAGCTGGACAATGACTAGGGAGGACAGAAGGAGAATTGACGCCTTTGAGCTGTGGTGCTGGAGAAGAGTATTGAATGTACCATGGACGCCAAGAAAACAAACAGATTCATCCTAGAGAGGGTTAAACCAGGCTACTCCTTTGAGGCAAGGATTCTGGGGCTTCATCTGACATACTTTGGACATGTTGCAAGGAGAGACAGGTCTTTGGAGAGGGACATCATGCTGGGTAGAGTGGAGGGACAGCGAGGAGGGGAAGACCCTCTATGAGGTGGATTGATTCAGTGACTGGGGTAATCGGGATGGGTGTGTCAGAGGCAATGAGATTGGCACAGGATAGAGCAGGGTTTAAGGCTGTTGTACATAGGGTCGCTATGAGTCGCAAATGACTCGACGGCACTTAACAACAACAACAACAAGCTATCCATGGCAGCAACAACTAGAGTTTGCCACTAACAACAAATCACTTTTCTCTCCATTGACTCTTTTTATCTCAGTCCTCCGAATATAAATATAATAAGCCAGTCTTCCTGGAGAATGCCAGACAATGGACAGAGAAACATGCCAGGCAGAAACCAAAGGTGAGGTGTTCATACAGCTTCCTTGCTACGAGCCGTCCTTCCAGTGTATTTCTTTGTATATAAGTATAAATAATATTAGATTTGGCAAATCGAATAAATTTTGTTATACTCTAGAGTGGCTAATGGTCTCCAGCTACAACTGTCTACAAAACTATTCAGAATAACCTAGCAAACTTAATCAACTGGATTTTTTTCTAACAGTTATCAACTTCTGACAACACTAGAGGGCAGCCATCATCTGGATCATTTTTTTGTACTTTTGAGGGTGACAGGGATGTAGGGAAGATACCTCAGATTCTATTCTCTACATTTTCTCATGTATCACCAAGAAGGGACTCTTAGCTGTAGGGATGCGGGGGTAGGAAGGGCACAGGGTGGGAAGGGAAGAGAAGGGAACGTTAGCCTTTCTTCTCGGGCCATTCAGACTATAGTTGCAGGGACTTGAAGGTTTGCACATTCTGGTACATGCTAAATTATAAAATATCCTACAGATTAAGTAGTAGTTGTGTTTTACTAATAAGGAGAAATTTATAAACAGTTGAAAAGTTTGAAGAAAATACCTTTGGAGGGGACATTACATACAGGAAGCAAAAGAGGTGTAATTTTAACATATATCATAGAGCTTACATTTTCTCCATCCTGGCGGTCGTGTGAGCTTTGTTGTCCTCCCCGCCCCCATCTTCTCTTTTCAAGATTGACGAGGAAGAGATACCAGGTAATCTGCCAGAGGCCAGCGACCCAGAAGCATACAACACGGCACAGAAAAGGAGAGCCAGGCCACTGGGAGGAATAGAGAAGAAATTCCACCCTTAGGGGTTTTCTCTTGTTCTGCTTCAGTTAATATTTCTAACTTCTCTGCCAAGCCTGTCTAATTTGCCTACCTTTCTTGATTGTTTGTATTTGATGACATAATTTTTGTATCCTATAAAACAGACCCTGTATATTTATTCTGCACTACAGTAATTCTGTATCGTTTGTTTTATTTATCTTGTACATATGCATTTTAAAGCCTCTTAACCTGAAAAATAAATAATCATTAAATGTTGACCATGTGTTTATCCTGTATGTGTGTCTGGGAGCAAACGGGCCAGATAGCTCCATAGTCAGAATGTTTAAATATTTGGAATTGTTGTCTTTTCTTTTGCCAGCTTACCCGCATCACAAGGGACACCAAATGTTTGACGTAGATGTAAAGTTGCTGTTAGAAACAATTCGGTTACCTCTAGGTTTTTAGGAATCTTAGAACAAAGTGGGAATAAAAGAAATGTGATAAACCCTCTCCCCCCTTTTTTTTGCAGCCTTCACATTTTGTGATTTACATAGCTGGCCACAATTACATGGCCTGACTTTCATTTGTTTGACAAATATTTACTGAACACCTACAAAGTGCCAGGCATTGTGCTAGTATTTTAAAATAATGATGATGTGTCAAATCAGACATTGGATTAACCCAGTAATTACACAAATGCATTTGTTTTTTTGTATTGCACTTTTAGTGAAAGTTTACAAATTGGCTTTCATGCATTCATTCTTACAGATTGATTTTATGGCATTAATTACAGTCCCCCCAGGGTAACAGCACTCTTCCAGCTTCCTTCCTGTGATTCTCCTCTCCCTCTCCCCTAATTCTGTCCCTTCCTGCCTTCAAACTATCTTGCTAGGCAGTTATTACCCTCATGTTCTTGTATGGTTGATTGTTCTGATTGTTCTAAGGAGTGAATAGCCTTCTGGTATTGTTCATCTTTTTTTTTTACTGTATAATATAATTTTTTAC